TTCGCCTTTTAGAATTTTTACTTAGTTGATTCGGTCGTGAATCTGTGAGTACCAGAGAGGTCGGCTTCCAGGAAGTCTATACTAATGATATATGATATATAGCGAAAAAAAGCTTAAAGTCATTGCGTACTGAAGGGAAGTGGTGGCGCACAGCGGACACGATTCCTGGATTTGGCATAACATTTGAGTAGAATTTGTTGGGTCTTTTCTCTGGTAAAAAATCAAAATTTATTTATCTATCTTTTTGAAAAAYAAAATGATATTTTCACTTATGCAAGGATAAGGAGGAACAACAAAAAACACTCAGCGCATCAAGTAATGCTCACATATGTTGAAATTATTTATTAATATTTACAAATATCGAATAATACTGTAACTACATGAAATATATGTATATTCTCTGTCCTCGTTTTCCTGTGTCTTTCTTAGTCGCATACGAAATTGAAAGGAAGATCAACTTAGTCAAGATATACTGAAATATTTCCCGCTAAAACATCTATTTCATTCATCGTCCGAGACTAAGAGCGGCGTTGCAAAGATGGCTTTAAACAGAGCAACTTCACGACAGCCATGTTGAAGGGCAAAACTATAGAAATGTTCCCTTTTGGWAATTCAAATCTTCTGTCATCCAAAAATTGCTTATTGTTTCTGCCCTCCATCATGGCGGCCTTGAAGCCATGAAAACATTTCCCCCAATATATTGTCTTTTTGGGTACTAAGACCCACTTGGGTTAAGGCCTAAAAGCAGTAACGCATTAGCTAGATAAGATGATAAGTAACATTCACAACAAGCCGTACAAGCAAATAGGATAACCAAGCTAAATTTAAAAATCGAAATTTAAAGCTACAATATCGTAAATGAAAGCAAATAAAGTGTGCCTTTTTTATGTACAATTATGGAAGAGTATTCGCATTTTCGAGCGAGCATTTATTTTTCGATGTAAAAAGCATAACAATCAAACGGGATATCTTTTTGYAATAAGCTAACAAAACCGTACGAGAAGATGTCTTTCATTAGCGTGCTATCATTACTGCATGGCGCATTTGTCGGGGTCGTCTTCACTCGGTCTTGCAGGAGATCCTTCTAATGGTTTGATCTTCATGGGCTGCTTGAGGGAAGAACCACCTAAAGCAAAATGAAATAGGGATATTATTGACACAAATTGGGYGCAGATTGTGGGTATACGCCTTGTGCGACTCTTACGCTTCTCTTGTGTTTAGCAACCTCCCGCGAGCATCCAGAACTGGATATACGCACGCTAGGCATTGATCATTCCTTAGATAARTGTGTAGGATGAAAGAGAAAAACCATATGAGTCAAACAAGGCTCTTGCAACCTTGCGACAWGAGAGATGTTTACAATATGGGAGATGAAAAAACCTAATAATGGGTAACGGGGTAAGTAAATGGGGGAACCTACGTAGCAAGCACTTGATGTAATGTATTCATGCAAATACAATGAACCACACCTAATACAATAGACAATAGAATACAATAAATGTTCTGAAAATATTACATTAACTGAGTGCTATGTAGGTTCTCCCAATGGGTAACATGGTCTGAAATGAAACATGGTCTAAAATGACACATGGTCTGAAATGGGAAAAAATTACGCCAGAGCTAAAAAGGTCTATTAGACAAATACATCTTTAGTTTTGTTTGACGGATAAATGGCGTGCACTCTCAAAGCTACATTCAAATAGAAAACCCATCTTATAATAATATAATACTTACGAGGTGCCACATGTTTTCCTAGTGACCGTCTAGATGCCCTGGACTGACCAGGTCGTTTAGTACCAACATTAGACGATAGATGAGCTTTCTTCGGTGTTGGTCCCTCTGATGGTCTTGGGATGTTAGTTTTACGGGGAGACAGGACTGTCTGTGGTGCTACTAGACGAGAGGGCCCGCGAGGTGGAGATCGAAGACCGGAGGGATTTTCCTTCTGAAATAATATAAAGTGAATAAATAAATGAATGAGCAAAAAAGAAAAAAAAAGGAAATATTAAAATTGCCAAAGAACTTCAGATTAAAGATTATTTATTACGCTGTTTTTAAAACATATTACTTTGTATGTAAGAATCTTCTTTTCCGTTTTATTTTATTTCRCCATGTTGGTCTGTTAAGCAAAAAGTCTTAGAGCGAATGTCATTTGCAACAAACAGTCACGTGCTGATATATGACTTTGATAACGAATCAATTCAGCTCAAGGTCCCTTGGGGAAGGCTCTGCTGGATGGCAAACAAACTTTAAATTCTTTAYAACTTGAAATCGAAAGTATACTGTCAGAGGAAAAAGCATTCAAAAAAGGTTATTGGATAAGATATTAGTAATTCAGCAAAACTTATTTGAAAGAAAGTTTGAAATTTTTTTAGTAGATTATTATTTGCAGCGAAACGTCTTTGCATCATAATGCGCATGAGCAGAATATTATTCGTAAGCAGTTATTATCTCGTAATGATAAAAGGGTAAATTATACACCGTGAAATGATGAAAAAACTTACTGACGTTTCGGACGTTAGTCCTTCGTCGGAGCAAAACGAAGGTGTAAAACGGAGTGAAACGAAGAACGAAGGACAAGCGTCCGAAACGTCAGCAAGTTTTTTCATCTATAATTGTATAATTTACCCTTTTATCATTACTGTTTCATTAGAAACATCGACGCAGCTCACACTAGTTTTTAGCTAGTTATCTCTAGTTATTACTTCGGCCAATCCAAACGAAGGAAAAAAATAATTTAGTTAATTTATTTATCATTAAAAAATGATAAAATAGTTAAATAGTGCTTACCGCAGTAGCGCGGTTCATTGTTGGTATATGTGTTTTCTGTGTTACTCTAGCGATCTGACTTCTCGTTCGAATTCCTTGTTTATCCAGTGATGATTTATCTGGACGAGGCAGCTGAGTGGTCGTTCTTCTCAAGATAAATGGAGATTTGATTGGAACATCAGRGATGTCATTGAAGCCCATGCTTACAATCTCGGGTAGTCCCTCAGGGAGTTCGCTTTCGGGGCTGTTACATGCTGCTGTATTTGGTTCCTGGTGCGCGGATGTCCCGGACACCGAGTCCCCTTGACTTGTGAGTCGATGACGCTTTGGTACACTGTACGTTTCTAAAGAAAATACGAGAAAAATTTACTCAACTTGATGTCTGTACAAGACTTATGGCTGTAAACGTTGCGCGTTTTTGGTACTTTGGCTTTTTCGTTTCTATCAAATATATTAGTTACAATCTTGGTTGACGAAAACCAAACGTCTTTACAAAAGGTGTATCAATCTTTAATGGGTCCGTGTCCACTGGCAGAACGAAGCTTGAGATTGGACAAAATAACAAAAACAAAGARAGCATGGATTATGGTGAACAATGTSTATTGTTCTACATGTAAGCTGCGTTCTTTGTTTTATCTCACCATTCATTGTTTGTTCATCCATTCCCAGGCTTCGTTCTGCCGGTTGTGGATTACCCCTCTTTAATCTGTAAGGATTGCCAATTGCTATGTATTTACAAATAACGACARATAAAGGGATTGGTGTAGGCTATTATAACAGCAGTAGCAGCAACAAGAAAAATAACAAGAGCAAACGATAGCATCACCACCACTACCATCATTAACAACCGCAGCAACAACGACACCAGTAAAAACAACAGTTATAACTTTAGCACCACMACCACCAACGATGGTAACTGCATCCGTAACAACAGCAGCAGCAGCAACAGTAGCAACGGCAACCACAGCTGCCGCAACAGCAGCATCAATAACGACAGCAACAACAATAACAGCAGTATATCATCAAAAACACTAACACGATAGCAACATCAGAAGCAACAACTAGTTTGTTTCCAACAACACATACCTCGTTCAGCGACTCTTTTATTCAATTTACTGACAGGACGAATAGGCAAAGCCGATTCCTGAACTACTGGTCTTGGAGGAGGAACAAGGGTTTTTGCTGGCAGATGCTTGTTGTCGGTGATTGCGGCCGTCGTCACAGTAGACGATGCGGTAGCGATACCCAATGATGACATGGATCGTGCTAGAGGTGACAACATACTTGCTGTGTTCGTTGAACTAACAGTTGCAAATTGTTTAATCTCTGGGCTGGTAACTTCAGGCGATGCATCGACTGGTTCGCTATTACCATTATCAGCTGGCTCATTTTTCTTCTTTAGCTTTTCTGTTGCAAATTGAAGTCGTCTTTGTAAACTAGTATTCTGTCGTTCTAGATTTTTGTACTTCTTAATGAAGGCGTGGTATTCGTCGACWGTTTCGTGGAATTTTTTCGTTTCTTCGTCGGCTCGGCTTTTCTCTTTGGATAGATTTTCTTCTAACGTTTGTACCTTCTCTTGTAATCCTCTGCTAGTAATATCTACTGGTTCATCACCACGTTTAGTCTTTAGTCTCAGCTTCAGTGACGTATTCTCGTCCTCTAGTTCTGAGACCTTACATCGAAGRGGACACAGTTCACCATCTAGTTTAGCAACAGATGCCTTAGACTTGTTATAMCTGGCTTCAAGCTCCTGTACTCGCGCTTTTAGCTTCATAACTTCAGTTGTGGAATCTTGTACTGAGTTATCATGCGTGTTTGAACCTCTAGATTGCGCTTCTTCAAGCTCTCGGCGCAAATTCGAACACTTCTCTTCTGCCAGCAACAGCTGYACCTTCAAGAACTCGACTTCTTCCTCGCGGTCTTTACACAACCTCGCAAGCTCTTCTTCAACTTTCTTGAGCTTCTTGTTCGCTTCTGCCAGTTCTTTCTCCTTCTCATAGTAAATTGTCTCAAGTTCTTTGAAAAGTTTAGCCAGCTCTTCATTCTCTTTCTGGGCTTTTTGGCCTTCTTTCTCTAGAGATTTTATCTGTTCTTGCAACTTTAGTTTTTCTTCTTTAACAGCATCCAAACTTTCCATTTTCTCCCTCGATTCTGCTTTCAATTTATCTACTTTTTCTTCGAGCTCTTTCTTGAGCTGCGTCTCAGTTTCAAGTTGAGCGTGAAGCTCTTCMAGTTGTCGTTCAATTTCTCTCAACTTCACTTTCTCATTCGACTCACTGACGATCAATTCCTCTTTTTCCATGTCAGCCTCGCTTTTCGCGCTCATCATCCCATTCAGCTGTTCTTTYAATACCTTGCATTCTTCTTCAGTTTCAGAAGAATGTACTCTCTCCCTCTGTGCTAAACTCTGGAATTCCTTCAAGGTTATCTGAAAGTTTTCATTTTCAACTGTTAATTCTTTCACACGTGTTTTTTCCTTGGAGAGAGCGTCTCTTGCTTGCTTAAGTTCGGCTTCAACGGATTTGATTTCGTCGTTTAGCGCATTGACTTCAGCTTCAAGTCCTTTCTGTTCATTATTGCGGTTTTTGTTCATCCCATCTAGTTGTTTCTGCAATGCAGACATCGTTAACTGCCCTTCATCAATTATCTCTTGCAATCTCTTACAGTTTTCTTCCAACTGCTGAACTTTTTGCTTTTCAGATTTAAGTTGCAGCGAGAGTTGGACAAATTTGCCGTGTGTCAAGCTGCCGTCTTGCATTTTATTCCTTGCCTGTTCGTATTCTCGTTCTCTCTCGTCAGCAGCTTCAAGCAGCGCTTTCTGGGATTCTTGTGCTAACTGGAGTTGATGTTTAAGCTGGTTTAGCTGATTTTCTACAGAGTTTATTTGTTCTTCTTTTGATACTATCTGCTGTTCAAATTCGTCTTCTCGTTTTACAGCAAATTCTTTGGCAGCTTCAACGATTTGGGATTTTTCTTCTTCAAACTGAGCGTCTCTTTTTTCAGCGTCTTCTTTGAGACCGGTAATCTAAAAACGAAAAATAAGATAAGATAAGATAAGATAAGATAAAATACAATTTACAATCAACACTCCCCGTAAGAGGATCTTCCGTGAGGTCCCCCCCCCCCCCCCCCCCCCCCCCCCCCCCCCCCCCACGCGCACTATATCACTTCATTCTATATTTACAACATACAACACTCAACTCACTTTTTTACGAAGGGAGGAAACGTAGAACCCGGAGAAAACCCTTGTGGCAAGGGAGATAACAACACAGCAAACATACTCGATTCACATATTGTTTAGCTGARAATCGAACAAGCGACTACTTTCTTGACAACTAAGAAAGGGTGATACTGACACTGCGTCTTAAGATCAACGAAAACTGGACGTTGACAATGACAATCTTATCTTACCTGTTCCAAAGCATCCTTTAGCTCTTTGCGCAGTWTTTCCATTTCATCACTGCTCGTATTCTCTTCCATACTTGCTTCACGCAACTTCTCTAACTGCTGTGTGACGTCACCCAAGTGATGACGTAATTCCAACTCTATTTCCTCCGAGCAAGTCAACTTCTTTTCCATACTTTCAACTTGGGCTTCTTTTTCACTTAACTTCTCCTGGAGTACGAACAACTCTTCTTCTTTTTGTTTCATCTCGTACTTCAATTCCTCGTACTTTTGTTCAAGATCCGCGATCTTAGATTTGAATTGTGATTCAAGTTCTTTGTTTACTGAAGCGYTCTCTTCATTAGACCGCTGTAGCGCTGTCAGCTCATCGTCTTTAGACCTCAAAGAACTTTCTAGCTGCTTTATTTCATTTTCAGCGCGGGACAATTCAAAACGGAGACTTGATTCTGTTTTTAAATATTGGTTATCCATATCAGCAGAGGACACTAGTTTTTCTCTTTCTTCCTCCCATTGTGACTCTCTCTCTTCGAACGAYTTTAACAWGGCTTCTGAATTCTTTTTTTCTTGYACAAGAGCATATTCCGCTTGTTYGACATCTTGTTTGAGAGTCTCCATTCTAGKTTCATAATCTTTGCAGGATTCGTGTAYTTGAGTGAGGCTATCTAGTTGGTTTGTAACATTGAGGATCTGATCAGACAAGCTCTCAACCTCGTCTTCCTTCTCTCTCAATTTTCTCTCGAGATCTTGCACCTCTTCGCGCGTTATCTTAGCTTCTTTCTTCATTTTCTGGATTTCTTCTGCTCTCTGTTCGCACAGCACATCAAGATCTTCATTGGCTGAGTCAAAGAAGGCCTTCATTTCATCGAATTCTCGTTGCTTAGCTTCAAGGGACTGTTGTAGGGTATTAATCTCGTTGTTCAGTTCTGTTATCTGGGTATTCTTGTCGTCTATCAGTACGCTTTGGTCTTGTCTTCCTACTAGGTTTTCTTCGGCTCTTCTTTGAGCTTCTTCYCTCATCTGTAGATAAAGAYATAATCTATAAACAAGTGATCAAAYAATACACGATGAACAGGTGATTCTGAGTGTTACGGTAATACGCCACATCTAACAGCTCCAGTCATGGGTTCGATGTCTCGAATGACTCGAGTTCTGAGATGGGAGAACATTACTCCCAAGCTATATGATCAAATCCACTTGKGCGTAATGTTTTCCTTTTTCAAGCCACGTGTTATCTTTTGAGAATAAAATTCTTTGTTTGAGTTTGTATCCATATTCATTCTTTTCATGCGCAACCGTCAAATAAAGAAACGATATTCCAGCGAATGACACGTGGCTGTATTGGGAGAACATTAGGATTTGATCTGTTCGTTAAAGTCAAACTCACCTGTTTAGCCGAACTTATTTGATCCAGCAAGTCTTCTTTTTCGCGTACCAATTGTTTCTTTTCAATTGACATCTCGTCCAAGGATTTCTGGGTGTCTTGCAGGCGGTGAGTCAAGCTGCTAATCTGTGAGAATGGTATGAAGTTAATACGTAACCCCGTGTGTGAGGTCACTGAGGATCAAAYTATGGACCTCTTGCTTAGCAAGCAGCACATTAACCAACCAAGCCACACTTACTCCTTAAAACAAATATGTGAGGTCACTGAGAATCAAACTATGGACCTCTTGAGGAAAGACAGGAAAAATCCTCTAAGAACCAACCAAGCCACACTTACTCCTTAAAACAAATATGTGAGGTCACTGAGAATCAAACTATGGACCTCTTGAGGAAAGACAGGAAAAATCCTCTAAGCCCAGGAGAGAACCAACAAACGACTCATGCTCCTTAAAAACAGTGTACAGGCGAGATCACTGAGAATCAAATTGTGGACTTAGTGTGCAACACAAAAGACACAGTATAACAAATATTACGTAAATTATAATATCAAAGTACTGTAGGTACCTTTTCATCGCGTTTTTCGATAGCTTCGGACGATTCTTGCCGTACATTTACTAACTCATGTAACGCATCTTCATAATCTTGATTAGCACTACTTGTTTCACCACGATGACTTGTTATCTCATCTATCTTCTGTTGCAGATGTTCTTCTAATGTCTCGATCTTCTGACAGAGCTTTTCATTGACTTCAAGTAGCTCGTCGTTCGATTCCTCAAGCTGTATCGCGTATGTGCACTTTTCTTCGAGTTGCTTTCCAATTGCTTCTTTTTCTTCAGTTATTTTTTCCAATTTCTCGTTAGTGTATCTCAGTTTTTCCTCGCTGTTGTCAGACGATGACAGAATCTTTTCGTTCAACTCAGAGTTTTTCTTTTCCAATTCTTCAATCATTTCCTTGAGTTGATTAGAATTTAGTTCTTGTTGTGATTTTTCAAGGCTGATATCCTGTTCTAGAGTTACCATTCGTGCTTTCAACTCACTAACGATCTGTCTCTCTTCCTCGACTTTGCTAAGAAGTTCAGCATTTTCWCCCTTCAAAGTCATTATTTGCTCTTCCAGTAATTCAATCATGCCTTTCATTTCAACGGTTTGTCTTGTCAACACCTCGGCATTTTCATTTTCTTTCTCCACACAATCCAACCTTGCAACTGTGTCATCCAATTCTTTTTTACATCGTTCGAACATTGAAGAGACTTGGTCTTTTTCAGCGACTGTCTTTCTCAATTCTGACTCGGTTGTCTCTAGCAGGCTCGAGAGTTCAGTTATCTCATCTTGGTATTTCATATCACATTCTTTCAAATTTTGTTCCATTGTCTGGAAGCTCGTTTCCATTTTCTTATGCTTTTCTTCCTGCGAATTTTTTTCGTTTTCCAGTTTCTCTAGGTTCTGTTTAAACCCGTCTAATTCTTCTTTGARCGTCTTTGCATGCTGTTTGCTGGTAGAAATCTCCTTCTCTAGTTCAGTTCTAGCTTGGTTGCTCTCTCTTTCTGCTAGCATCATCGCATCGTATTGCGCACGCTTCTCTTCCAATAGCTCTTCAACTCTGTTGCAGGACATCTTGTAGCTCTGCCTCGATTCCTCAAGCTGGGCATTCAAATCTAGAACTTTTCCTTGGTGTTCCTTCTGAAGTTCATCAACCGTCTGCATTAAACTGGTCACCCTATCTCTCACTTTATCCAGCTCTTCCTGCAAGCTTGTGTTTTGTTCTTTCTCATAATTYAAAGCATCTGTCAACTCCTTGTCCTTCTTGCTCATTTCGTTCAGAACCTCATCTTTGTCCTGGTGGATCTTCCTCTCAATTTCAGCTTTGCTCTCCTCTACCTCTTTCAGTTTGTSTTGCAGCTTCGAGTACTCCGCAATATTCAAATCCTTAGTTTCTTGTAAAATCCGTTCCAACTCTTCCACGCGCAGGCAGTTCTTTCTAAGCTCATCTTCAACAGTTTCAAGGCTGGATAACAATGATTGTACTCTGTCTTGAAGGTCCTTGTTTTCTTGTCTAGCAGAAGACAACGCCATTATATTTTCTTCGTTTTTGCTCTCGGAATCCATAGAAAGATTCGATAYTTTTTCTTCCATACGTTTGACAGCTTCCTCTTTAGCTTGGATTTCATTTTTAAGGCCTTCAACTTCAGTATAAAGATCTCGTTCAACGTTTTCGCGTGTGGACTGAAGCTTCTCGCATTCAACTTTTAGATTTTCCAACTCCAGTATTTTAGCTTCAAGCGCAGCAGATTTCGATTCAATAACCTGGTTCAGTTCTACGATCTCTTGTTTACGGCTTGTCATGGTATTTTCCATCTCTATTATCACAGTTTTTTGCTGTCCTGCATTTTCTATGGAAATCTGTTGGCTTTTCTGCAGCTCTTCGATTTGCACTTTGTATTCCTCGTTCACATTCTCAATCTCCATCTTCATAGATTCTTGGACTTCTTTTACTTTAGCTTTGAGTTCTTTGACTATAGCGTCTCTCGCTTGGCTGTTCTCATTCACTCCTTCCCTCAACTTTACAAGCTCTTCTTCTTGAGAAGTAGAAAGTTCATTCAGCTTGACTACTTCATCTTCCTTACCAGCTAATAAACTTTCGAGTTCTGTCACTCGTTGTTCTTTCTCGATGACCAATTGTTTAAACGTCTGCAAATTGCCATCCACTGCAACAAGCATATTCTCCGAGACTTCTTTATCCTCTATTGCCTTGCTCAGCTCGTCCCTTGTCCTACCAAGATCTTCCTCAGTCTCTTGGAGCTTTTCAAGGACTTCTTTTATCTCCTTCTGGGCTAATTCTTTTTGGGCAGTCATTTCTTGGTTACTACACAGTAGATTGCTTCGTTCCGTTGCTATACTTGTTTGAAGTGCATTCAGCTCGTTCTTATAGCTTTCCATTTCTCCTGCAGTCATTGTCAATTGTTTTTCCAATTCTTCTAGGTTCGTTTCTGCAGACTCCTTAGAGTGTTTCAATGATTCTACTGTTGTACTAAACGTGGCCTGCATACCCTCCTTCTCTTTCCATAGCGTTTGTATCTGAACTTTAAGGAGTTGGATTTCTTCTCTTAGGCTTGCCACCAACTCTTCCTTCTCTGCGACTCTTTGTTCGGAATCCTGTCTTTCTTTTCTTAGCTCCTCTACCGTCTTTTGTAAACTTTCTACAAGTTCTCCTGACTTTTCCTTCTCGGCGCTTGATTCAGTCTTCACGAGCTCTAACTCTTTAGTCTTCTCGTCCAGCGAGATGGAAGCCTGTTCTAAAGATGCCTGAGCGTTCTCAAGGTTTTCTTTGAGTATGGTAGTAGAGTCTTTGAGATTTTTAACCTGTGATTCTAGGGCGTTCACCTTGCTGGTCAACTCTTCTATACATCCTTCTTTGTCCTCGATGTCCATTTGCGTAACTTCAAGCTGAGATCTTAATACTTCCATGTCCTTGGTTACAATACAGTGACTGTCCTCCTTCTCTTGGGATTTTTGTTTAATTTCCTTGACCATTCCCTCAAGCTGGTTTATCTGTATCTCGTATGACTCAATTAACTCATCTTTGTCTTCAAAATCCATCTGTAAGATCTCTTTCTGAGCTGTCAAACCTTCAAGGTCTTTTTCTAGCTGTATGGTTTTCTCTCTGGATTTTTGTAATTCGTCTTCTCGAAGTTTTACTCTTTCTTCAAGCTTTATCTTCTCTTCGCTCAAGTGTCTGACTTTTTCTGCGTTCTCTTGTATTGTCACCTTCAATGTCTCCATCTCAATTCCCGCTTCTCCTTTCAGAGATTTCCCCTCTTGCAACAACACCTCTTTATCTGAATTCAAGGTCTCGATCATTCTTTCCAAATGCACTTTTTGCTCATCTAAACATTTGAACTCCTCGGATTTTACTTGCAAATCATTTTCTACAGTACTAAGTCGTTGTATCATTTCATCTCGCTCTACCCTGTTTTCTTCATTCATCTGAACCAGCTTTAGTACCTCTTTTTCCTTCGCCTCTAGCAGATGACACACCTTTTCTTTTTCTGATAAAGCAGCGTCTAGATCTTTTCTGGTGTTAGACAGAATTTCTCTCTGACGTTGGAATTCATTTTCAATCTCGTTGACATTATTCTGACTCTCCACGGATTTGGAATCGAATTCTTGGTTTTTGTTTTCTATCACTTTAGTCAACATCTCATTTTTGTTTGCAAGTGTACTAAGTTCTTCCTTGGTGGTACCTAACATGGCATTATTTTCTTCCAATTCTGCTCTCAATCCGTTGGATTCCTTCTGTAGCTCTTCATACTTGGAAGAGAGTTGTTTCAATTGCTGTTCTTTGATGTTTATCAATTCCTCTTGTTGTCCAACCTTGGCGACTAATGCATCTGCTTTCGTTTGAAGTTCGGTCATTTCGCTTACAGATTCCTGAGCCGTAGTGTCCAAAGATGCCTTGATATTCTCTATCTCTGCTTTCAACATATCCAGCTCGCTATCCTTGTTTTCAACAACTTTTATCAAATGTTGGTTTTTCTGTACAAGATTGGCGTTCTCCTCTTGTAGAATGCTAAACGAATTTTGTAAAATTTCCATTTTCGTTGCGAGTTCAGCTTTTTCTTTTCCTTCGCTTGCCAGGCCACTTTTCAAAGAAGCTATTTCTTGAAGTCTTGATTCCTCAAGCTCGCAGGCGGTGGACAGCTTTATCTTCAACTCTTCTATTTCTCGATTCATCTTCTCAAGATCAGAAGACATTTGTTCGCCAGATGATTGGCAGGTTACTTCCAAGCTTTCTTGTTTCTCTTGTAATTCTTGAAGTTCCTTCTTTTGTTCCAGGCATTCAACCAAGTGTTGTTCTTTCTCTACTAATGCTGTGTTTTGGTCCTGTAGGGCGAGAACCATCTGTGCACTGTCATCCATCAGTGCTCGAATAGCTTCGCATTCTTCTTCCATGGAACTAACTTTCCCCAACGCTTCTTTCAATTCCTCTTCCTTAATCGTTAAACTCTTGCCAACTCGTTGCAGCTCATCTGTCAACTCAGCAACCTTAGTATTCGCCTCGGAATCCTTCAACTGATAATCTGCTGTATCTTTACCATAGGTATTCTGCAGTTTCTGAAGCTCTTCTCTGCTCGACTCCAACTCCTTGGACTTCATCTCCAATGCCAAATTCAAATTCTGGGACTGCTCTATAAAACTTTCTTTTCTCGTTTTAAGCTCCTCGTACTTCTCCTTCATGCTCTGACAGCTTGTTTGCACCTGTTGCAGTTCAGTATTCTTGGCCTGGAGTTCCTCTTGAGCATGAATAAGATTACTTTTGGATAATTCGAGGGACTGCTCCATTTGCGCTACCTGGCTCTTCAGATTTTCCAGTTCTTCATTTGCACTTTGGGATTTGGAGTTAATATCTTGAAGTTTTGAATCGAAGCTGTTTTGTAGCTCAGCCAATTCTTGAGTCTTGCGCTCTTCTTCCTGTTCTTTCACACGAATTGTCTCCATAATGGCTTTTAGTTTGTTCTCTAATTCTTCCTTGACCGCATTTACTCTAGCAATCTCTTCCTTATTGTCTTGAATCACCTTCTGCGCTTCAGTAAGAGATTTCGTTACCTCTCGGTATTCACTCCTTACAGACTCAATCTCGTTGTCTTTGGATCCTAAAGCATTTTCCAGGTGAGATTTCTGCTCCAACAATTCAGAAACGTCTTTCTCAAGACCATCCAGCTTCTGTTTCAGGTTCATAATATCATCTTCGCTACAACTCCTTAAGTTTTCCAAATCTTTAAGGTGGAGTACAATTTCTTGTTCCTTGGTCTTGATTATCTCCCGCTGTTCTTCGTTCTGCAGCTCAAGCTGTTGATACCTCTGCTCAAGATCACTCCTGTTTTTCTCATCCACTTCTCCTTGCAGCTTGATTAATGCAGATTCCGCTGTTTTTAGTTGCCCAGCAAGTTCTTCTATATCAGATTCTTTCTTTTGTATTACATTGTCTTTGTTTTCGTACGCTTCCTTCAGGGTCAAAAATGAGGCATCCGAGTTCTCTAACGCAGCTTGCAGTTCGTTAATCTTGGACGCCATGCTTTGAATTTTCATTGCTCTTTCTTCCAGCTCTGCACTTTGTTTGTCCATCTTTTCGGCCAAAAGTCCACATCTCTCTTCTGCCTTTGAAATTAATGCTTGCTTTTCAGATGAAAGTGCGTCAAAGTCTTTCTTCAACGATTCGATTTGTTCTTCTTTCACAGCAAGTTCTTTAAGTAATGTTTCCTTTTCTTCGGCAATGTCCTTGATTCGCTGCTCGTAGTCTTTAATGGCAGTCTCCGCTTGCTGAGCGCGATGCCTCCAGTGTTCATAATCTTTCGTAGTAGCTACATGCTTATCGACTAATTCTTTAAAGTCTTCAGACTTTGTGTCAGAAAGATCACACGCTTTCTTATAATCATTTTGTAACGCCTTGATGTCCCGTTTCAGAACTTCGTTCGCGATGTTCAGGTTTTTCTCCTTCTCACTGAAAGTCGCCTTTTCTCTCTCAAGCTCTTCACACTTTGCCAAGAGTTCTTCTTCTTTCTTGGCGGTATTCCTGCATTGCTCTTTAAAAGATTCCTCCATCTTTGCTTTCTCTTGTTCGTGTGCAGTCAACATGTTCTGTAGGTTAATATGTGTTTCTCTTAACTTCGACACCTCGTGGCTTTTCTTCTCCAGTTCATCTAAAGACCCAAAGAGTTCTTCGTTTTTCTGGCTTATCAACCTCGAAAACTCCTGCTTATCCTTATCCTTTTCTTTCTTTATTAGAGCAACTTTTTCTTCTAGCACTACCATCTCGTTCTTGAAGTTCTTTTTCTGCTCTTCTATGTCTTTATCTTTTCGAGTAGCATTTTCTTGTTGTTCTCGAAGGAGTAGCGAGCTTTCTTTGAGTTTCTTCCTCAGTTCATCTTCAGTTCTTTTCTCTTCTTCAAGATCTCCCTTAACTTTATGGACTTCACTTTGGAGTTTGGCATATTTATTTGCCTCTTCCACTAGTTGTTTTTCAAGTTGAACGACCTTGTTTTCTTGGTCTGAATACTGTTGCCTTTGAATATCTTCATTCTCGGACACTGACTTCTTCATGCTGTTCACCTCTGATGTCTTGGCTTCGAGTACCTTTTCGGTATTTTCTTGTTTACTCAGAATTTCAGAATTTCTCTTCTTTATTTCATCATATTCATTTTTCTTGGTCTCCAACTCCTGTACAAGTGAACCACATCTTTGCTCAAGTTCTTCAACCTTGTTACACATGTTTTTGACATCGTTGTCCTTAGCTTGGGTCATTTGCTCAGCTTCTTTTAGCTTCGCTTCGAGCTTAGAATGCTTCTCTTTATTCTCACTGATGCTCCCCTTCAGTTCATGCAACTCTTGATTCAGCCGCTGAATATCTTTCTCATACACTTCTACCTTTTCTTTCAGCTCCACCATTTCTTGTTCCTTCTTTCCTGTACTACACGATGATGCTTCTAGATATTTCTTAAGTTCTTTATTCTCTGCCTCTAGCTTGGTCTGCACAGTACGCAAGTTTTCGAGGTCACACAAGGCTTGTTTTCTCATCTTCTCCATCTCTGCTATCTTCTCCGTTGCTTTGCTATCAGCATTCTTGATGCAGTCTTCTTTACGCGTGATCTCATTCTTAGCAGCATTCAGCTGATCTTCCAATTTCTTTCTATTCGTCGCTTCACGATCCAGCTCAACAAGCATGGTGTTTTTCTCTTGTTTTAGAGATTTGATTTCTTGTCCCAGATCGGCAATGGTCTGATCCTTTGCCTTCATGGCGTGGTTCTTGTTGGAATCGTCATTCTTCGCGTCTGTTAACTGTTGCTTTAACTGTTGCGCTTCTCGTAGACTCTGGTGTAGTTTTCCCTGAAGCTCTCTTTGTGCTGACTGTGCGGTGTGTTGTTCTTGTTGCATTTTGTTGATTAGTTCTTGATGTTGTTTATCTAGTGCTGTCAGTGCTTGTGCATGGGATGAGACCTCTTCCCTAAGAAAATATCATCACAAAAAACGATTGATGGCCAGTTGGCTTCAGGGATGAGGGCAAAACAATTGTCATCTCACGGTACCCGATTTAGGGGGGAGGGGTGGTGTTATCCGGTACCCACCACCACTGGAAGTGAAATCTTAGATTTTGTCTCCAAATATCTCCAAAACTAAAAGCCAAACCACAGAAATGAATGGACTGTCTGTCTGCATGTATGCTAAAAAACTTATTTGTGTATAGAAATTGCCACTACAGACCCCCAGTATCGAGCATTTGAACAGGTCTCAGAGGGGGAAGGGGATATGTACCGGTACCCACCACCTTCATTCATAAAATCGGGTCCCTATTTTGGACCATTGTTTTGACCTCGCCCCTTAATGATCATACACCACAAGGGCTGATCCAGGGTTTTTTTGAAGGGGGGGTCTCAGGGGTAAATTTTGTGGGCAAAGGAATCCCAGTCGCATTTTTACCACAGGAAGCCCATTTGACCTCAGGAATGACAGGGGGGTCGTGACCCCCCCAACCCTCCCCCTGGATCCGCCCTTGCACCACACACTATTCACTAAAGAAAAAAGCCCTTATTTTATTGAACCCAGGAAAGCCTAATATGTATAACTAGTATTTATCCCACACAATTGAAAAACACCCACTGCCATTAATCAGAATGCAGAAAGGATAAAGACATGTGCTTTATAGAATATACAAGTGCCTATGATGGGATAATCCATGGTGTGCCACTCAAAACCATGGTATAACTAGTACTGTATTTATCCCAACCAGAATGCAGAACAGCCTAAAGGCTGTATCATTGGTTAAAAGTTGGTCCTTTTCCCGCACAATTGAAAAACACCCACCACCATTAATCAGAATGGACATTATGTGCATTATAGAATATGCAAGGGCCTCATTGGATATTCCATGGTATGCTACTTCTAGTTGTATAACTAACTATATATATATAACATATTCACCTATACTGTTTTTCTTTTTCCTTCAATCTTTCTTCATGGCCTTTGATAACTGCCTCAGAATTGTGTCTTTGGCATTCCAATTCTTGACTCAACTGCTTGGATTTCTTCTCTGTTTAAATAATATCAAAAATTCTCAGGTCATTATTTTTTTAATTAACATTGTTTTACTTTGGGGATCCATGTTAAAATAAAATTATGCTAAATAGATTGTATATTGTAAAATGTGTAGACTGTCATTAGGCTTTTAAGATTTTACCAATTACTGCTATTTTTCATAAACATGTAAATTCTGTAGCTGCGAGCCAATTTTTTTTTGCTGCCACCAGTCAAAATTATGAAAGGTACCGACTGATTAGTTTTTGTTGACAGCAGTGTAAGAATTGAATTTCAGCTTACAGCTATCAAGTTTGCATGTTTATGAAGATAGCAGTATATGAATGCAATGCAAGCTCAAATTGCAACTTATGGCCTGCTGGTATTTGGTGTCTTGGGTTCAAATCCTGGACTTGGCACCACATGTGAGCAGAGTGTGCATCCTCCTAAGAAAGATCTCTGGTTTTGCTCCCTCCATAAAACCCAACTTGGTATATCCCAATTCCATTTGTAAGCTTTCTGTGACCTATGACTTAGATTAGCTTAGAGGTTTCAGGGCTTGATAAAATTTAATGGATTTTTTGTGTAACTGATTTTTTAAAGTTAGTTTTACTGTAACTGCCAATTTGCCCCTTCATTTATACAGCTTTTTTCCATCCATCCCAAGTATGATATTCATAAACAAATGTATTTTCCCCCAAACTTATAAAGCCAAACATTTACTGTGCTACGCGCCACACCGTACACACTTCAATAGGTTATGATTCCATTTTGCTACGAGTAATGACTTTTGTTCAAATTTGAATTGTGTTTTTATCGCTAACCAATTAGGTATCAGCACCTCACTTTGATGTTTTGATACTGTTACATCAATGTACAAACTCCGACAATTGAAAATTCAGAGTGAAGCACCAAAGGAGTTGACCTATTGATTTTTTGATCAATCAAAGTTGGCTACAGCTGCTAAACCTCATCTTTTCATCCGGTTTCCAGGTATTTGGAAATATCAGATGACTGAGTTTTTCTCAAGTTTGATGGGGAAGCACAGGTGGCATTGCAGTAAAGTAGCTTGCCTCTCACTAATGATGTGACCTTGGTTTGAGCCCCGCTGGGCTTGCTGTTGTACAGTATGTGAGTAGAGTTGTTCGTTGGTTTTCTCCTGTGCTTAAAGGATTTTTCTCCAGGTTTCCTCACTCCACAAAAATCAACTTCAAGATTCTAATTTCAATCTTTATTGGTTGCCATGTAATTGGGTCTTAGAACAGTAAAGCTTGGTTAAGGAACATGTCCTCACTATGACATAAGGTAACATAAGCACAAGCAGAAGCATAAAAATAAGGAGATTGCTTTGATCCTTGTGCTTATGTTTATGCTCATGCTTGTGCTTATGTCACAGTGAGGACGTCAACAGAGAAGTGAGTGGGCTTGATACACTTATGTCTGTGCTTATGCTTATGTTGCTAGTGAAAACCATGCTTAAGGCTTATCGTCCACCTCAGAGTGGCAAAGTCGTATAAAATAAAATAAATATTTAGATCTACATGTAACACTGACCTGAAGCCTCAAGTTGTACCACAGTTTTATCCAACTGGCTAGTCATCTTCATCAATTCCTCAGAAACATGAGTGGACTCTTTGATTTTGTTATCCAAATTCTGTCTTATTTCTGTCAATTCCATGTCTTTTTCTTGCAGTACTTCAGTGTTTTTCATCAATTCTTTTTGGCTTGATTGAAGCTGTAACTCTAGTTTTGCTAACGAATTTTTCAGATCAGTTATCTGTTGCTTGAGTTGTGTTGCTTCTCGAACTTCAGTTGAAGGTATTTCAGGCATGGTATCATTATTCAATGGCTTCTCTTCAATAATCTTTTCTGATTCCTGGCAACAAAAAATAGGGTTTTAGCATGGGCTTCATTAAAGGTCGTAATAATAAAATACTCCATTAAATGAGCAAACTTCTCCAGCTTAAACTACCACTTAGCTTAGTAAGTTGTAATAAGTTTACTTAGATTTCCTGGCTAGTACAAAATAAAATAATAAGTTTGTTTCCTGTTGCGCGACCCATCCTAATTTTCTTGCTGATTTTTAACAACCCTAATATTTTTTCATTCCCAAATGCACAACAGGGTTCCCAGGAAGCTAATTTTTACTGCTGTATCAGTAAAAAAAAAAAAAAGAAAAGAAAAGAAAAGAAAAAAATCTTTTTTTGTTTGGCCTAGTACAAAAGGTTCTCCTATACATCTCAAAAGTCAATGAAGCCCCTGTTTTAGTTTTGGGAATATCAGGGTTTGTGTGAATTCAAACCTCCTTGGGTACAAACAGAAAATCTCAAGCAAAATATACTAACAATTTCATGGCTCAAAAACTGTCTTATCAACTATGTACATGCATTGAAAAGCCTTCCCATTCCTGCAATCAGCATGTACTAATAAAGAGGGCTCATTATGTTTCCCTTGATTTGAGGGCTCTTCTCTTTTTTTTTCCTTTCCCTATTTCATGTTCCATGCCATGAAAATAGGTCCAAATATATTTCACCGGTCAAAAATAAAAAACACTGGCAGGCCAAATTTTCTTCCTATTTCGACCCCAGTAGTAGGGTGGTATGGAGCGAACCTCACAAAAGGGCCCCATAGGGGAGTGATGGTTGTAAAATATAAGTTTTTCATAATTAAGTTTTTAAAGATTTCCTTCTAGTAATTTTTGATTTCTGTACTACTGAATGGACCACAGAAAAAATGTGATCATTAAAAACAGTTATTTAACATTGTAAACAGTTATTCTGTAAATGGCAGTCAAAAAACTTTTATTAGTGGATAGATGAATGCTTATAATGAAGTATTACCAGATAAATCATTGCTCTTTCTTTAATTATTGATCGTAGGCTTTTAAGATAGACTTTTCACCAATAACAGTTTTTCAACTGGGCCTGGTTGTATACAAAGGGTGGATAAGCACTATATCCAACAGATAAATCTTATCCAGTGGATAAATTCATTGGATAACAGCATCAACTTATCCACTGGATAAGGATTTATCCATCAGATAGCACAATTCACCCTTTGTACAACACTGCTCTGCTGTTTACAGAATAACTAGCCATCATAATGATCACCCAGGAATATGGTCATGTGTGTTTAAATTGACATCAAACTCAGCTGTTATACAAGTCTTTGAATTCAAACTCTTTCTGTTTTGGTAGAATACAGATCAAAAGAAGCTTTACTAACCAGTGAACCATTTTGAAGGTGATTTTTCAACTGCATTAATTCTTGTTCAATCTTTTGCCGTTGTTGTACTTCAGCATCATATTTGGCTTGAAGATCAGACTCAGCAAAATCATTCATATTTTGTCCATCACTGTTACTAGACTGGCTTGACGACCTTGATGAAGTAGATCTATTGCTGTTGTCTCCAGAATGACGCAATTGAGATTCCAAAGTTTTTATCTTATTAGTTTGACCTAAAAAATGCATTCAAAAAATTATTTTTTCATTCAATGAGATAAGTTATTATTTAAAGGTGATGATGAGAAGCCAAAATACTTTGATTGTCATTTTTTACTAGATATTATGATCACTAACTTAGTGATCATCCGCAGCAACGAAATCTAATCTATAGCTTCATGAGTACAAAATTTTGTTGATAAAATTATTATTTAAAAAAAAGATCTTGGACACTAACTACTGATATTACAAAATAATGGAAAACCACAGAGACTTTGTTGATCAAAGAAAATAATCGATCACAAGCAATGAATGGGGACATTATCATCACCTCTAAGTTTATTCAACTAGTTCTTCTATGCACTTTAGCTTTTATAATAGTAATTTTGTCAGTATGAAAGTACTCAATGCAACTGTAGATAACAATTTGTGGATGAGGATGACCACTACAGTAGTTAGTGATCAAAATATCTAGTTAAAAAATGACTGGTAATCAAAGTATGTTGCCTTCTCATCATTACTTTTATACTAAAACTGTATGCCCAATGGTGTTACCATATATGTCTGGCCTATGTGTGGACTTGGTAAGTGAAACTGAAAAATAAAAGGCCATGCTAGCATAGAATTGCTCCAGTGCTTATAACTGGGACTCATAAGGATCTCCCTGCTAGAATATTTCATAATTTAACAGCATTGGATAAATGCTGTAAGGGGTTTATACACTCAATAACAGGGCCCAGTTGTATTTATCTGATGGATAAATCTAATCCAGTGGATAAATGTATTGGATAACAGCATTAATTTTACCGTGCAAGCAGTCTCCTTTTACCTCCTCAAAAGTAGTCTCCTATGCAGCCCTTATTTGTGTTGTCAAGCCATGCTCACTCCCCTAAGTTAGGGGAGTGAGCGTGGCATGATGAGACTGATAGCCACCGAGTAGGAGACTACCTCAACGGGCAAGAAGAGGAGACTCTGCTCACAGGGTACATTGATTTCTCCACCCTTTATACAGCCATGCCCAGGAGAGGAAGATTCTATTGTTTTGTGCTCCGCATTGAACTACATTGTGAATATGCAGTAAGGAGTCCACACACTCAATCACAGGACTAAGATTGATCCAAATTAAGCTACATTCTTTGCTATAATTTGGGAATATGCATTGCTGTATTAGTGGTTTATAGATACATCAAAACTTTTTTCAATGGCTTTTACTGAGAAACTAAAAAACCGTTATTGAAAAACAACGTTTAAAAAGAAAGTTTAAACGGTGATCAAAGCTTTCTTTTCAAATGTTGGCGAGAAAATCAAACCAAACGCCGCCATGAATTTTTTACCCTTTGTAAGTCTAAATTTTTCGGTTATGATAAAATAATTTCACTATTTCTTAGTACTGTAATAGTATTTTCTGGATGTTTGTATAAGATTTCGAGTTACATCAGTTTGATTTTACACTCCATTGGTCAAAATCATTAATTTTTTAAAATTTAAAATCGTGAAGAAAAACTTACCTTCGAGTTGTCTCTTTTGAAAAGAATTGTGCTCTTGTAGTTTAGATAGTTCAGCAGACTGTTTCTCGTACTTCTTCAGGGACTGCGTGTGTTCGCATTGTATTTTTTCTAAATCATTTTTTAACTGTGTGGCTTTATTCACCTCGTTATCCAAACATTGCTTGACTCGGTTTAGTTGTCCTTCAATACTACTAAGTTTACCATCTTTAAGCTGAATTTCGTGGAGTAGTTTTTGTTTATCCCTCTCAGCTTCATCACAGGACTCAGATAAAGACTGGATTTCTCTTTTTAGCGTGGAATGTTTTCCTCTTTCTTCTTCTGTTAATCTTTTTTGTTTTTCCAACGCCGCAGTACAGCTTTCAAGCTGAAAGAGCTTCTGCTTGTTGTCCTTGACTATCCTTTCGTTTTGCTGCTCTAACTCGGTTATATGTTTGAGTACATAAGCACTCAAGCCCTCCTTCCATTCGTCCTTAGCCCAGCTCATGGCTGACAGGAGTTTAGAGGCACTCAAGGGCCGAAAAAATAGAGAAAATGTCGGTCAAAAACCAAGACTTTTTTGGTATCTTGATTAAGTTTTATTCCAACGACAGTTGAACTTTGTCTCCTTCACGTTTGGATTTTGGAGCGAAAATGCTCGTATTTGATTGGTCAACATGGTATGGGTCCCTAGGACTGCGCGGTTACGAAAACACAGGAAGGCCGACATAGTATTTTTATTTCCTGTGGTGTTAATAATAAATGAAATACAAATAAAATTTAATTTAAAAAATAATAACCAAATAATAATAAATAATAATCTAAAGACCATTAACGAAAACAGAAGGATGTCCGACATTATGAATTTTTAAGTTTCTCGGGCTGCTTGTGTCCAAATGGACTAATAAAAAAACACTTATAAAATATCAGTAAAAGTCTTTGTATTCTTTTTAAGAAAATATTTAGCGCAACGTACGTAAAGAAATCTGTTTAGAATTTTCTAGACTTCGTACACAAAAGCTTTTCAAGAACGATTATAGACCACCACAGGGATCCCAACCTTATTCTACTGACGGAAGTAAAAAAAAACGACCGTCTCAGACAGACATAACCAAATCGTCGTTGGGGTAACATAGGCGAAGCTCTAAATTCTAGATTAAGCCTTTTCGCATTCATATAAATTTCCTCAAAATTTTCTCTTTTTCAGATGCATTTTGCAGCATATTTTGATCAATTTTCATAAGCAAAATACGTTCGCGGTATCCCTCTATTGAACCACACAAAACCGCAATGTATTATGGAATTTTACCACCCAAAATGTGAATGTGAAAATAGGTCACTTGCTCTATACATCAATAATTACAATCTATCCATGCTCTCTGTTTGAAGAATTTTATTTCATTGATCATAAATAATATATCTAAATATTATTTAAACGATCAAACATTCAAATCGCAAGGAACTGTGAAAGGGCGACAATTTATTTGAAATCGCAGAAGAACGTTTCATTTTGGGACAGTTTTTTGATTGGTTACCTGCCAATTCAACAAAAAAGAAAAGAAAGACGAAAGACGCCTGTGGAGGAGGCTAATAATGAGGGTAGGAGGTTGAAGTCAATGGTTAGAATCCAGCTGCCCAGCCTCCTTTTCTAGGATCTGCCTCTCCATACAACATGCCATCTTTTTCTTTAACAACAGCCTGGACCACAGCAAACCCATCAAGCACTCTGACCTCGTGACCTAGCCTTCTGAGACCATCGATAATGGCCTGGGGCATAGGGTACATCTTGTCTGTTTTGATATACATTGGCATGAGTTGATGGTGGAGTCGAGGGTCTCTGACCGACTGCGTTAGCGTCCGGTTAAACCACAGGTAGTTCATAACAGTCTAAAAAATAAAGGGTTGGAGTTAGTCAATAGAGTGAAGTCATTAAACCCGTGCAATACATATTAGAATAATAGATATTAGTAGACCCTAATAATTCTATTGATCTCTTTTGTCTATTTGGATATTAATAAGAAATTAAACGAGGCTAACCCTTTGTATATGAGTCTGTAATCAAGGAACATGGCGGTAATTCGGAGTCGAAACTCCAATACGCGGTCTATTCAGGACAAGTGAGCAGGGACGGTTTTGGAGCAGTCTTCTACTGCTGTAGACCCCTCAAATATTCTCTCTAAATATTTCTTGCAAAGTAATACTGTAGCATCAAATCTATTTATTAAGTAATTCACAGTCGTCATCTTGGGAGGGAGTGGCCTTACCCCTAATCCCTACTTTCTACCCTTTTCATGGGGCCTATTTTATAAGAATCTGACTTCATTCATGCTAAAAAGGACGCAGGGATTGAAGGGACATACGACATTGGTATTTCTCTTACATACCAAAGGAGTTGCAGTTGTAATCTTAGTTCCTCCAGACGCCCCAGCAACCATCCGTACATCACCCTTGTTATCAACAAAAATAGACGGCGAGCATGAGGACAGCGGTCGCTTTCTCGGTTTAATGAAATTGGCGGGAGATGGCTCGACGCCAAACGCGTTGATTTTCCCTGGAGTAGCAAAGTCATCCATTTGGTTGTTCATGATGATTCCTGTACTGGTGCTGCGAAACTTGCTCCCGAAGCTGAATAAGTAAATGTCACAGACAAATATTACTCATTTTCTCAATATAAGTTAATGTAAATTACCAGAGGCTTTGCACCTGATGGTTGTCATAACAGAAAGCACAACGATAGCGTTTTTTTCCACTGGGAAACTGAATTTTTTCTGAATTCTGATCTAAATCAGATAATTGTACCTGTCGTGATGGTGCAGACTCTCTATTACCCTTTTGGCCACTTCGGCGCGGAGTTTCAGAATGCGTTGCATCATGGGGTTGTGTCAGGAGACACTTTATTACTTATATGAATCTTTTTTTTTTTTTTGCTTGCTGATTAGTAAAAAGCGAAAGGAATGTGATAGGAAACTTAAATTAACCGCTTGTCTTAATTTTTCAATGTATTTTGTTTCTTGATGCATTACCCACAGGCTAACCACTCTAATAAATGAAGGAAATACTAAATGGTGTCTTATCTTTGTCTTTTTATTCGCGCGCGCTATCGATTTTTTGTCATCTCACCTAGCCCCCTTGGTAACAATTTTGTTTTTCTACTATACAATATACTAGTATATTGTATAGTAGAAAAACAAAATTGTTACCAAGGGGGGTAGGTGAGATGACAAAAAATCGATAGCGCGCGCGAATAAAAAGACAAAGACAAGACACCATTTAGTATTTCCTTCATTTATTAGAGTGGTTAGCCTGTGCATTACCTCACCTTCCTCATATTGCAACTCCGGAACGGTTAAATAACCTGTCACGAGAATCTTTATCGATCATCGAACATCGAACAAAGGTAAACCATGGCCATTACTCCCTTGGTAATATACTTACTATAATTATTCGCCAAAGGTGAAGTGATTATCGTTGGAATATTTACCGAGCCGCGCGTCTTTGAGCGGCGAAGACTTGAATATCAGAGAAAAAAGGCGAAATTCGGGATAATTCTAGTATTACTTCCAAACTGGAAAACTTTAGAAAACCTCATAATCAACGCTTCAGCGCTCCGGCTCACCGCCGCTCCAGCGGTGATTATGTCTTAGAATCGCCGGTCGCTCGACCAATCACAGCTCGAGAAACTCTATATTCAGTTCAAGTCTAAAAATGTACTAAAAGTTGATAGTACAAGGCACAATTATTGATAATGGTAATGTATTATACTCTCCATTTCTCCCTTGGTAATATACTTAGTAAGGCACTATTATTAGTAATGGTAATCCATTAAGGCGCTATTACACGGAGCAATTTTAATTTCTCTGCAACTTGCCCCCCAACAGCGTTGCGACAAGTTGCTTGGAGCATTGCAGCGTGTAACCTACAGCGCAATTTGAAAAAAATGTTGCGAAACAAGCTGCGAATTGCGTCTCCGTTGCACTGTGTAAAAATACTCTGGCACCTTATGTCGCAACCCTATTTCGAGACAGGTTGCAGAGAAAATTGCTCCGTGTAATCGCGCCTTTACTCTCCATTACCCCCATTGGTAATATACTTACTATAAGTTAATAGTAGTAGTAATAGACACAGCATCTCCATTCGGTGCCATCAGCGACATGTGGGAGGTTCCTCCTCCTTCGGTCGAGTAGTAGTCACCGTAGTACGTGTAGTTCTTGAATGTCTTGTTATCAAAGATTTTATGACGAAGAGACTCGCCAAAACTTGGATCGGTGATGTTTTTCAATGTCTATAATTAACATAGATTGAATACCAATTTTAGAGAGTGCCAATGAGGGTACCCAATTGTCACTTAACTACCAATTTTTTTGGCCAATAGGGTTTTTTTGTTAATTGACAATTAATTGTCAATTAACTAATTGATCAGTTAACTACTAACCTCATCGGCGCTCTCATTTTAGTAAGAGATAACTAGCTAAAAACTAGTGTACTAGTACATTTTAGTACAGTTAAGTATACCTCACTGCAGCTCACGGCTGTAAACTATTTTCCTTCCGTTTCTCACCCCCCAAACCCCTCCCCTGAGGATATTTGACTAGCTACTAATCCTCGCTCGGCCAAATTGAAAAAAGTCAGCGCTTTTGTAAAAATATCTAAATACGGATTGCAAAAATATCAAAACGCAAAGTCAGTTGCCGAACTTTAACGGTTAATTCACATATGTACCTCAGCCAGGTCTACAAAGTCTTCGTCTCCAAGCAAAGCTCGGTAGGCATAAGCAAACTTGAAGGCCTCTGTGATGCGATGGTAAGTCAGGATAGAGCTGTTTGTATCCTTCCGGTCAGCGGATGTCATGTTGTAACCTATGATTGAACAAAATAGTCAGAGGTGTTTACCGGGAGGTATTTACCACTTAATTAGCTGGAATAACCGGAAATCTCGTTAGGAAAACGAATGGTATGTGTCATTACAACCGCAACTGAGTACCGGAAAAGTAGGTCTTCCGACGACCGATTCAGGTTGTCCACTTTTCCCGCTCTTTTCGGTCCTTCCGGTGGACGCGTGTCATGTAAACACGTGGTTTCACTGGGAAAACCTTTAAATGTTAAAACACAACCGAAGTAAAATAGTTTATACAAATGAGAATAAATTAATTAAATTTTTTTTTTGTAGCCTGCGTAGCTCGATGCTACCACAGGTAGCACAGGCTAGGTTTCTGTGGTACCATATTATAAGAAAATCTGCTTTTCAAGAGTCAGCTAAAATTTCTTTACTTTATTTCAAATTTCATTTAGACGATTTTGGTGAGGTTTTCAAAGATCGCCATACTTTTCTTATAATATGACACCACAGAAACCTAGCTTGGGCTATCTGTGCAAATAATTGAAATAATAACAATTGGGCTCCCTGCATGTATTATATATTTACACTCACCTTTAAGAATATTAAGAATCAGTCCCATTACGACACCACTACCAGGGGGAGGCACGGAGTACCAAACATTTGACCCTAGGGTACTCCCCAGAGGTTTTCTAATTTTAGCCTCGTAGTTTTTCATGTCTTGTAAAGTAATTATTCCACCATTGTTCTGTATGTCTCGCACGAGATCCTTCGCCAGATCTCCGCTGTAGAAGGCTTCTGGATTATCTCGTATACGTTCTAGTGTTCTTGCTAGTTTCGGATTCTTGATTGTCTCTCCCAGTTTGCGAAGTTCGCCCTTATCATTTACCAGTAGTTCTCTTCGGGGGAAAAATGAGATATTTCATATTTTAATTTTAATAGAAAATATTTCAAACCACCACCCGGTTAGCTCAGTTGTTAAGAGCCTCGGTGAGACCAACACTCGGGGTCTTAAAATGACTGAGGAGAAGGTGCTGCCTTTGAAAATGGTTAGACCTTCACGTGGCTCGGATGATCACGTTAATGGCGGTCCCGTACCTAATCATCTAGAGACGTTAATAGAGGACCACGAGTTAATCGGTTGAACTACTGTCAAGCATTATCCTTGATAATACTTAAAAAATAAGTTAAAATACGTTTAAAAAAACAAAGTTAATACTTATATTGCTCATTTTCTATATAAATACTCAAATGGGCATTAAAATTTTCAAATTAATTACAAAACACTCAATCCTACCAAAATCCATCTATCAGAAACTTACATTATTATGTTAAAAAGATATAATATAATCGAATATCACACAATCCTATATTAAACTTCTCGACTAATTAAAAGCCTTCAGTACTAAATGAATTGTCTTAATTGCACGCACATATAAACTGGCAATATTGCCCCTTGGTTGCTCTGGCAGCCTATGGTAAATTGCTCTATAACGCTGGCCCTGCAACCATTAAAGATCGCACCCATTGTGTTTTTTAGTGCGAAAAAAAAAAATTAAAAAAAAAACGAAGCAAAAAGTATATGATTAGTTTAGAAGGGTTCACCTTAAGCCAGGGTCATTGAGAATGAGAGCCTTGCTTGCCTCCATGGCATGGAATGTGTTTATGTTCAACGGGACGCCGTTTTTAGCAAGATCAATCGATGGCTGGACAAGGTATTTCCATGGAATTCTACCGTACTTTTTCCAGGCTGTATGGAAACCTTTCACTTCCCCTGGTACACCAGAGGCTGATGGACCTAAGATAAAACAAAACAACACCCATCTTCATTATTTGGGAATCAAGGGCGTTGTAGCATAATCCTCTCGCCTCTCACTTGGTCTCGGGTTTGATTCCTGGACTTCTTGGATTCCTTGGCCACCACTGGACTTGTGAATGGAGTTTGTTAGCTCCTCTTTCCCTTGGCGAATGGGTCTTTCTTTGGTACCCCCCCCCCCCCCTTATATGCAGAGTTAGCCGCCGTCCCTGACTTAGATCAGCCCAGAGGATGTTTCAGGGTTCGATCTGTGAGTTAGCCATGCCCTGACTTAGATTAGCCCAGAGTTTGTTTCAGGTTTTGATCTGCGAGTTAGCCGTGCCCTGACTTAGATCAGTCCAGATGTCGTTTCAGGGTTTGATCTGTGAGTTAGCCATGCCCTGACTTAGATCAGTCCAGATGTCGTTTCAGGGTTTGATCTAGCTGTGAGTTAGCCATGCCCTGACTTCGATCAGCCCAGAGGTTGTTCCAGATTTCGATAAAATTTGAATGTTAAGCTAGAAACTAGAATATTTGACTATATTTGATCCCAATAGTTATCGTTATTTATACGAGTACTGACATGATCATGACTTACCAACTTGAGAATTCAGACTACTATTAACAAACATCGTTACATTAGCAGAACCAGGCGCCTCCTCGCGGAAATCAATGACTTCAGCAAACATATTGCTACGGTTATACACCAACATAAACCCTCCACCTCCAATGCCTGCTGAATGCATATTATTGATACCAATACAAAGCATTACAGCAACAGCAGCATCCACAGCCGAACCATTCTTCTTCATAATGTCTCGTCCGATTTCTGAGCAAGTTCCTGCATCTGCAGCTACTACAGCTTGTTTATAGGGTCCGTTGCTGTGAGGAGGGCTGGTCGGAAGTGGCGCTGGTGTGGTGGTTTGGTTCGTAGGTGTTTTGCCATGGGAGGGTTTCTTCTTTGAAGAGAGAGTAACGCCAAGTACGATAGCGAGAATGATGACAATGACAAGGATAAGGACCACGGCAAAGACAATGTACTTGGTTCTTTTCCTAATGGGAAACAAAATATACAAAAAAAAAAGTTTCCTCTCCGCATAAATATCCAAAGTGTCTGCTAAAACGAACCAGTACTCAAGAGACCTTTTTTGCTTGCGCATCAGTATGATGTCAATGATCCAGAACGATTACAGGGGGGTGGACTGAAAGCTGAAAGCCAGTACTCAAGAGACCTTTTTTGCTTACGCATTAGTATGATGTCAAAGCTAAATTTTTACTTCGATAACACGGGGAGTGGTTGGACAATTCTCCCAAGCCAGGGGCTCATGCATAAAGCGCTTGAACGTGCACACTTTCCCCCCTTAGACTATCAGTGCTCATTATTACGGGTATTTAAAGCTAAAGCTAGAAAGAACAGAGAGAAGTCGAAACAGATGTGGATCTCTAGCTCTGAACTATGCCGTTTCCTCATTCTAGACTATTTCTCATTCACTAAAGTATCATATCCAGCGGATCCAGGGGTTTTAGAAGGGGGAGACTATAACAGTGACTATTTTACCAGGAATGCGATGAGCTGGCTTGCTAAGGATAATACTAAGCAATTTGAGCACAACTTGGACCGTGCGCCCCTACATTAACGGTTGCACCATGAGAATGCACATGAATATGGATACAACTGGAACAAAGAATCTTATTCCATGAGAATGACACTTGGTCTGATGGAAATGGCAAAAAACATTACGCCAAAGGTAAAGCCGAGGTCCATGTATACTGTATTATGAACTTTTGCAATTTCCAATTTCATTTATAGACATTCTTGGAGCTTTAGTTCTTCGTGCCATGCCTTTCCCCCCCCCCGCAAAAACTGTTTTTTAGTGTTTGACCAATGCAAACACATTAGGGAGCCCAGCCCTAAGGATTTTGGCATCGATAAAAAAGAAAGAAATTATACTCAAGGGATTGATAATTTAGTTTTAAATCCAGGCCCATTTATCTACATTAAGTCTGCTCCTTTGTTTATACTAATCCAATGCTGACATGCAAAGTTCAAGTGTATAGATTATAAACTGTTGTTTACCAATATCGTGTACAGAACACATTGATAACATATATTCCGAAAGGAATCCAAATTTTTAGACTTTCAAAATTAAGCTCTGAATTAAAAGGAAAACAATTAACTGTGGACTAGTTATATATGACGTAAAGCCACATAGATTTTATATTTAACAGTTTTTGAAATCGTTCGTTCAATTTGCATAACTCTAGTTTCACAGTTTAATGATCTCGTAATTACTCTACAACACAGTTCAATGATTTCGAACCGTTTTTCTGTTCTCGATAACACGCAAGTTGTGGTACGATCATAATTTGAAATAAAAAGTCAATTAAAGATTATAGAACTCTTAGCATAATTTAGAAAATAAAACAAATCCGTCTGGCAAGTTCTGATCAATTATTTTTTGGTAAATCGCTTTTCCTTGGACAAACAAAATCAAATGCTTAAAAGCTTTGAATAATTCTGTATCTAAGGTTTGCCTGGAGTAAATTAAATATCTGTCTAAATACCCTAAAGTAAAAGCCAAAACAAACAAACCGGAGCTGATTGTCCCAATCGAGCTGTGCAGACACCAAGAGCTTTTAAAAGATGTACTTACAAAATGAACGTGCTTTAATAACATGAACATGTAGCGATTAGGAACTATCTTAAGGCAACTATTAAACAGTCGAAGGACTTATACCGTCCGGAAATCAACAGAATAATTAGACTTTGCCTGCTAAATTAAGATTTATAGTGCTCGAGTAAGATTAGAGTTTGTATAAGATATCGTGTTTGCGTTACCATGTTCTCTACCGGTGAATTTTATAGCATTTAAAACTCACCTACTCGTCTTTTTCGTGCCCATGAAGGTATGGTCTTCTTCTTCAATCATTTTTACTATCTACAGTTTGGATAACTTTAAGCTGCCGACTGGACCACTGGTTGGTTTAATGCCGTGTAAGGATGTCGAGGTATGTAAATAAGGGTTATTTGGTAACGACGGAGGGATGGGCTGAGACGATTATGTAAATTACCCTGTTTCTAGTTAGAGTTTTCCTAAAAAGTTTGCATAATTAAAAATTAGTAGTTAACTGATGACAAATACCTAGTCTAATTATTAACTGATGGCTAACAGATATTTACTTATTTTTATGCTTTTTACATAATTAATATATGATATTGGTATACAACTAAAGATAAAATACCAAGAAAAAAATGTAAAAATGAGTAAAAAGAAAAAAGAAAAGAAAAGAAAAAATCAATACCAAAGGCTATTCCCACGTGCCAAGGGTCTATGCAAAGCTAACATACTAGAACTAGCTGTTGAATATTGCAAGTAAAGTGCTGCGTACTTGCCCCTGAAATTGCAGTCGCGGGGGGCCAAATGGAAGATCATTCAAAATCGAGTGTCGCTTATCTTGTCAATCTTGGTTTCAACTCCAAGACGTTTGAAACTGCAACTACAAGGTATTTTATGATAGAAATCACTACTTAGCAAACCAGATGGACCCTTGAACAGAGGTCATGAGTATCGAAACCGCATCAATCAGTATGTACAATACAATGAGTCAACAAGTACAGGAAACGATTTGGATTTGTGTGCTCGTGTCGTTGGCCTTTTGTCCGTCTTGTTAGCATGGTTTGGTAATGGGGTGTGGAAAACTGTCGTCAAATTAAAATCGCTGCCAAAATTCTAGTACATGCAGTGCCTAGTACGGCTATAACGTGTTAAACATTGCTAAGATTGAGTTAACTTTTCCTCGTGATTATCTGTCCTGATTGCTGTTGTCAAAACAAAAACTCATTGTGTTGATATATTCATCTGCTAATACTTACCTTGAAACTGGTCCTTCCGCCATCTTTACAAACCAATTGTAAGCTATAAAAAAATTAAACAGAGTTTTAGCTTGAAGAACGTACAAAATAGCGAAATTACTGATGGTACTCCAAAGGTCGCTCTGCTGGAGTCTTGTGGTATCAACTTTTACGAAGTAAAAACACGTTTCCTCTTCGTTAAAGCTTTATTGTCCATTGGTATTTATTTAAAAAAATGATCAAACTATGTACTAGGATTCTTTTCACTTTGATTCTAGCTTGACGTCCGCTTCAGCACAGGTAGCTCAATCCTTCGTTATTTAATCGCAATTATTATTACTATCAAAATGACGTTACTTATTACGGCTATCAGATTCTTCAGTTTCAGTTATTGGGATTTGGACGGTGTGAACTGCAGGCTGCAGCTCAAGGTGCAGGTTGCTGGGCGCAGGTTGCAGGTTGCAGGTTGCAGGTTGTAGGTTGTAGGTTGCAGGTTGAAAATTCAAAAAAATTTAAAATATATAAAAAATAAAACAAAAAATATTCAAAAATATAAAAAATAAAACAAAAAATATAAAAAATAAAACAAAAAATTATATTAAAAAAATGAAAATATCAATTTAAAATAATTTTAAAATAAAGCAAAAAAATATCAAAAATAAATAAATAGAAATATCTATAAAACTAATAGAAAATCAGTTTAATATCCAGTAATTTTTTTATATAATTCTAAAATGTATATTCACTTCCTTATCTAATTTTAAAAGCAGCAGCAAACGTTACGTCAAGTCATTTACTTCAAGTTACAATACACTTAAACGAGACCTTGATGTCTACATAACAGCATTAATTTTCCCTTCGATTTTTATGCATTGTAAATAAATATATTCATAACGTTCTTCTTCTTCTTCTTCTTCTTCTTCTTCTTCTTCTTCTTCT